CAAGTGCCCTAAAACGCTCACTAAAACTGAGAGTAAAATAAACTGTATAAAGATATATAACCTATTTGTGTGGAAAGTGCCCTAAGACGGCTAAGACCCTGACCCCCCCCCCCCCCCCCTCCCCCGTGATGTGCCATGCGCAGTGTTCAAGCGCGACCTAGAGCGGGAGATCCAGTCGGACACCAGCGGCCACTTCCGTCGTCTGCTCACCTCTCTGGTCACAGGCAACAGGGAGGAGCGGCCCACGCCTGACCTTGAACTGGCCAAGAAGGAGGCGCAGGAGCTGCTACAGGTGAACAGGTGTAGGCTTAGGCTTAGTGCACTTGACTAAGTCGTATGTAGTTGTAGATGTAGAAAATATGTGTACAGACTTACTGTTATTACTAATGTATTTGTAAATATTGAACAAAAAAATGTAAATTTTCACTTTTCAAGGACTCTTGAGCTATGGAGGCCACTAAACTTTGGCGGCCCTTATCTCGCTAATTTTACTTCTGAAACCAGGCGACCCCACCTCCTTCAATCGCAAATATCTTGACTTCTATTCAACATAGATGGATATTTTTTTACCTAAAGCAAGGTAAATGAACATGCTTTGAGATGATACCAATGACCCCCATACGTCCAAAAATTGACGTCCGCCTGATTCCACCGCGTCGTGACACATAATGGACAACTATGTGTAAGACTCATCCATACCTAGGACAGACAGAGCTTACAGCGAGCAGTCTCTTCGTCTCTGGCTCATCATGTGATGAATCGTCTCACCCATGAGTCTACGTCTGCTGTCTCCGTGTCACCCCTCCCCCCCCCCCCACCAGGGCAGTGCCAATGACTGAAGTGTCTTCAGGCCATTCCCAAAGGGGGGGGGGGGGAGGGGGGATATTAACATGTTCTTATCTTATGCACTGTAGAATTGTAAATGAGCTGATTTATCAATGTCATGCTTATACTGTGCCGGAACAACATAGGGGGAACTTGCTTTTTCTTTCCTCATCCTTGCTATCGTCATTTTTCCTCAACTTCTTTTGTATGTTTGTCACTCTCTTGTGAACTGCTATTTCCGGGGTGCCTTGATAGTCGAAGCAGACTTTGTGCTGTTGAGGCTAGAGAGGTGAGCAGACTAAGCCTGATTCCCCGTTTGGACTTCTCTGTTGACATCCACCCCTGGTGCTCATATGACCTTATGAAGTTGCGAGCACTGTAAAACCTCTACACTCTACTAAACTAAAACGACTACTGTCTCTGTGTCCCCCCCCCCCCCCCCGAACCAGGCAGGGGAGAAGAAGCTAGGCACAGACGAGTCAGTGTTTAACCGCATCCTGTGTCTGCGGAGCACTGTCCAGCTGAGGGAGACCTTCAGCCAGTACCAGGCCATCAGCGGCAAGGACATCGAGAAGGCGATACAGTCGGAGATGAGTGGGAACCTGGAGCTGGGATGTCTGGCTATTGGTGAGTGGGTGGTGGGTGAGTGATTGGCAGGTGCTCTGGTCTGGATTGCTCCTTCTTTCCTATCAAACATCTATCGTCCTTATCTCTCCTCCTTCTTTCCTATCAAACATCTGTTGTCCTTATGTCTCCTCCTTCTTTCCCATCAAACATTTATCGTCCTTATCTCTCCTCTTTCTTTCCTATCGAACATCTTTTGTCCTTATCTCTCCTCCTTCTTTCCTATCAAACGTCTATCATCCTTACCTCTCCTCCTTTTTTATATATTCTACTCTCTTGTAACACCCCTAATTTTCAGCACTTGTTTGACCTAATTGTGTTGCAAGTACCGTGAAACCAAACAAAAACAACTCACTGTCCTTCTGTTGTTTCTGTCTGTCGTTCTGACTTGTCCCCACCACTGCATGGTCGTTGTTGTGTCGATGTTTGCTTCTCTCTCATCCATCAAACCGACATCTGTCCAACCCCGCTCTGACCGCCCACTCGTCCCTCCCTCAGTGAAAGCTGCCAAGAACACACCAGCTTTCTTCGCTGAGCGCCTCCACAACAGCATGAAGGGCGCCGGGACCAAGGACAGCGCTCTCATTCGCCAGATTGTCTCTCGCAGTGAGGTTAGTGGCCCCCCGCTTCTCCGTCAAACTATTTTTGTTGTTGTCATTGACCGGACCACCTCGATAAGCTATAAAATCTAGCAACACCCCCCCCCCCCCCCCCCCCCCGTCATTTTCCTCTATTTCTTTTGTATGTTTTTCACTCTCTAGTGACCCGCTATTTCCGGGGTGCCTTTTTAGTCGAAGCTGACTTTGTGCTGTTGAGACTAGAGAGGTGAGCTGAGTAAGCCTGATTCCCGGTTTGAACTTCTCTCTGTTGACATCCACCCCTTGGCGCTCATATGACCTTATGCAATTGCGAGCACCGTAAAACCTTACTAAAACAGACCTTATGCAATTGCGAGCACCGTAAAGCCTTACTAAAACAAACAAGATCTAGCAACAGACCATTTTGCCAGTGACCGGACCACCTCAGTAAGCTAGTAGCTGCAGGCAGTTTGGTGAAACGTTCACAGTTCTCTCAAATGTTTTGGAATACTTTCATTTGAAAGTCCTTGCTTTAACTCATTCGCTATGTTCTACAAAACATTTGCAGTAAAACTTCAAAGAACTCAATGGACACCATCCAAAACCAAGCTCTTCGTCTTATCTCTGGCGGAATGAGATCCTCACCGACTG